TCCAGCCGACCCTCAAGACCATCGTGGACGTCGTGGCGTGGCTAGAATGATCATCTATGGAGGTAACATCTTAGGGGGGTTAAATATCATATGTGTTTATATTCAGACATGAGCTTTCCAAGAAGGTATTCTTGGGTCTCCTTGGTGCCGGTGTGGTCCTATGCTTCCTCCCATTCTGGGTGTTGGTCATGGCCGCTGGAGTTGGTATTCTGTTGGCCAATTCTCCCCTAAAGGGGCTTTTCATCGGCCTTGCTAAATACGCTGCCAGGTAGGGAGTTAGTGAACTGCTTTGAGACGACTATGTCTTGACAGACCGCGCCCAACTGGAGACATTGGTCTTCTTGACTCTATGGAAGAACACCATCACAGTAGCGACTACAACAAACTGATCGTTCAGAAACGACGCTCGAAGACCAAAGAGACCGTATCTTCCGAGACCCCTCTCACAACTGGGAGGTCCTCATCGCCGCCACTTCAATAGTGGATGATGACTTGTAATCGTATTCCCACATTATTTGTAGCTATAATACTAGGAGCTGACTATGAGTATCAAATTTCATCATGTGTGGATGGCTTTTGAGTTGAATAGTATAAAACACGACGCGGACTGAGCTGGTACTTCTAGGCAATATGGGAAAATATGCACGTGGGCAACCACAATATAAAAAAATCATGGAAATTTTTGGGAATTCGAAATGATTCTTCTACATTTCCGCCCGTACTAGCGTGCAAACTTGTGGGTGAACTCCTGAGCTGAGCTGAGGAAAGCGAACATATATTCCAATATCGCTCCCCAACCTTGATTGGCCTTCGTAGAGGCTATATGATCAACAAAGAGTGTATAATCGTTGGAGGCTTAGAACGTTTGGTCCATGCCTTGACAAAGGCTCTGATGACCAGATTTAATAGAGTATATAAATTACAAATATCTTTGGAAAGAGGGTACCAAGTTGTGAAATATGTAGATCAGATATGAAGGTGAGTATAAATCAGCGCTCAGGTCCAAATCGGATGAGTTGTAGAAGCAGTCAAGAAGGAACAACAACTTTTCGAACCTAGTCGATGTTATTGAGTAAATGAATGTAGTTTCGACTACAATGGAATTGATATGATACTACGGAAACTCAACAATGCAGCAGTGCTGGTTACATCAGATCTCACACGTACAACAATGGACAAGTGTTGGCGATACAACGGAGGTTCATAAGGACACCGAATGACTTCATGTTTTCATCGAACTGGCCGAATGAGGCGGAAACAGACGTGAGCTCCTGAGGGATGAAAGCATGCGACGAACGTTAGTTGGGATATTCCGATGGCCCACAGTATCAGCCAATCGTCTTCTGCTCTTCCCAACCTGAACCACACGTGAAGGAATCTTACAGGCTGCTGAATTGTACTCACGTAGATGCACTCCTTGGTGTAGTCGGCCCTTCTGGGTTTACCCTGAAACATGAGGAGGCACTAACATGTAGGGTTGCCTTTTGATAGTAACTCACATGACCCAGTCTTCAGGGCCGATCTCCTCCCTGATAGAATAATAAAACCTCGATGAGAGCACATGAAGAGGCGGCCTACCTACTTTTCTCCCTCAGTACGATGAACCCCGAACCTTGTCGTTTAAGGAAGAGGATGTACTCGCCCTCCACAGCGAACACTACTGCCTGGCCGAAGACCTCTCTGGTGGGGCTCCCCGCGGTCATTAGGCGACATGCCTCGGCATTAGCTTCTGATGAGCCGCTGAAGCCTACCGTCATTGTTTCCTCATCTAGATAGAGACCCTTCCTAACATATATCACATCAGTTATTGTGCCCTTCATTGAGGAGGTAGTCGTGTTTAATAACAAGTCTAGCGTCACTTCTGGTTCATCGCTCTTGAAAACTATCTTCACCGGAGGAGTACTAGATGGCAGTGACACAGGGGTGACACGTCGGAGGAGCATCCCAGCGCAAGCCTCCGCCTCACACGCGTAAGAGTTGTCAAACCGTTTGGGTAAACTGAACAAAGTGTCACCAGTGAAGCTCACCAGACCAGGCACGTGTAAACAAGATTTTCCGACGGTCACAATAGCGTGGCCGTATTTCACCGGACACGAGCCGCTCTTATGACGGATGGTTCTGATGACCGGAGGGTCTGCCGTCTTGGTCCTCCTCAATACCAAAGGGCCGATACTGAAGTGACTTGCTAGGGCCTCATCGATCGGTGTTTTTGTGAGCTCAGTGATGTGCGAGATCAAGTGACTCAGCCTCCACGCAGTGAACACCTTTCCATCGTGGACATTGGCACTTTCCACTGCACATAGAACCCTTGGGCTAGTAAGAGGGCTACAGTAGAGTCTTCCAACATGAGCCCTCACACTAGAGGCATGATAGATAATGCATACGAGTAGACATTGCAAGAGTGTCATGATCCAATAAAGAGACAAACTCAAAGACTGGGAATAACTGCAGGGGGGGATTGGTAAACTAAAGTTGATTGTCAGATGCTCTATAATCAACGTTCAGAAGGTCTTCCCACTCGGCGAGGTCATCAATGACGTCACATGATCGTATCTGGCAAGGCCGGACTGGAATTAGCGTTCGAGAGCAACTGCCTGCTCACTTCCCAGGCCCCACATGAGGCCCTGTGGCGCTGCTGGTCCTAAGGGCGACCGCGTTTTTCCGACCCTCCTCTCGACCGACTGTGAAGGCTGGGGACTTCAGAGAATTGTTGAAATCGTTACAGTACCTACAAAAAGAGATGCCTCACGAACCCGTTGAGACCTGAGGAGAGCTTTCGCGATGACTACGATGATCGACTCACCGTTTCCCCTCAATCTTATAAGCATCAGGACCAGGCGTGGGCCTCCACCAATAGCCCCTACAATTCATATGATACTTTTCCCTGCGATCCCCCAGAGAGTAGCTGGGAGCTCTTCTAGACTGCATTCCCAGATCCTTATCACCACCGAAGTAGTGACTAGCACCAGGGCCCTCAGCCGAAGAGTCCTGCCCAAAAGGGTATCTAGGGTCCAATCCAAGCACACCCGGACGAGAGGCATCCCTCACGCTTGGGCATGGTAGAGCTTCGAGTGGCATCTCTCAGGGAACCGTGGAGCTTGAGAGAGGCCGAAACTAAGTGCTGATAAATCACTAAGGGGATTTCTGGCCAGAGCCCCGACCTAAACCGCGGAGCATGCCTTGTCGTTTGTGAGGCCCCAACACTGATAGTAGAAGGCTTCTCGTAGGCGCCTGGCCCCGGGATGTTATGGATCTAGAGAGGGCAGTGTGTGTGGAGGGGGGGATATGCACATGGTCAACTACACGTATCGGTGACAATGTGAAAATTCCGAGGAAATTCTCGTTGGTTACTGTACACTTCTACCCAAATTCCTATAATAGGTGAGGAACCTCAGCAAACATATATTCCAGCACAGACAGGGAGTACTCGAAATATCCTCACTGTAGTCCCTTACCACACTCTGAGAACTTTCCACATAAGATGCCCTCGAGTAAGCCAGGCGATATGGTATCTACAGAGAAGCTTACTCCATGGACGGCAGGCGTACCCACTTTGAATTTCCCAAGGACATGTCGAGGAGCTCCAAAACTGTATGCAGGTGCTGCTGCCAGATGGGAGGGGCGCTGCTGAGGACCGACTTGGCAGCAGCAACTGCTACTACGAGTCAATAATGCTGGGCCTAAGACGCGGTCGTTGCCACGGTCTATACCGTTTACAAGACGGCTCCACTCTTACTTCCGGCTAGCTCCACATTAGTTTCACTACGACTCCTTGATATACCATAATCGGGCATTCTCCTTGACAACACTCTGTATGTAACCGTTTATCCTATCTAGGTTGAGCTTTTGTCTTGTGACTTCCTCCCACTATGTGACAACACAACAGCTATTCGGGTTAACGAAATTACGAGTGACGCACCGATGATTGATGACGACGACGACGATCTCGTTGAAAAATTATAACAACAACATGCACTACTCAGTCTTCTCACCAGCGGCCGGGTCCTCACAAGACCACTTCGGGGTAAATCTACGGGGTAAAATGCTCATGCGAAAGACGATGAGGGTCTGACCGTTTAGTGGCTGCCGTGAATGTCTCAAGTTCGTCCTCGAAACCTTTCCAATACTTCTCTCGATTTTTCATTGTTTTCTCTCCAAGTGCCTTCACAGCCTACCCAAGGCAACTTCTTAGCATCACCCCTGCACAGGGGCCCCCACCTTTTCAGTGGCACTGCTGAGATCAACATTGATATGCGTGAGGCCCGACTTTGAGAGCATGCCCAGCAGAGGCCGTCTAAAATGACCAACTCTCGGATCAGCTGCAGAGGCTCCCGACCCATCTCACAGTATTTGGACTTTCCCTTTGCCTTGCTCCAGTGCGCCAAAGTCTATATGTGTGATCGTCCTCCAGCGTATTGGCAGGTCTACCAGCATTTCGAGGTGCTCCTGGTTGAAGGCTTGCAGAAATGATGATGTTGGGGAAGTAGGAAATCTTATATACCTAATGAAATCTGGGTCCGACTCGAGATGCGAACAGAAGAGAGCTCCGCAAACCTCAGCAGATTTTTTGCGTTTTTCAATGCATGCAAGAAGGTTCGTATAGAAGCCTCGTCACTGAGGACCTGAGGAGGTCGCGGGTTCGACACCCACACCTGTCGTTTTTCACCACCTCTTCAGGAATCTCCACTCCACTGGGCTTATCTTCATCACTCAGAGGTCCGCAAGCAATATGAAGCGTCGTTATATTCCCTTCATCATCAGCACTCAGTCGGGCCAAAGCCTCGTCCACCTCGACTGGATTCAAAGTCTTTCGCAACTTCCTTGGTGGTGGCGGCTCATACTCGGCTGCAGCATATCTCAATCGAGGAGGCGGAGGGCCCTAACACAGTATCAGAATAACAATAACACGAGACGGCTAGAGAAGTACCTCTACAACGGTCGTCGATGTTTGGTCATCAGTGGTGCCCTTCAGAGACCCTCTCCGTACCGAGGTAGGCTTAGCCTAGTAGGAAGGAAGAACACTGCCTTGGATAACGTGATGGTAGAAAGACTCACCCCAAAGCGCCCGCGTGGATTACAATACAGCAGCTCCTAAGGACAGGATATATCTCTTTATAAATGCCGATATGAGGCCCACCCGTCTGGCCTCTTCCCAGTCGTCGGACTTATCACAAGAACCTTCATAGAGGTCAGCGCAAACGAAAGTGTCCTTCCCCTCAATGGTTGGCATATCATCTATGTGTACTCTCCTCCATTTACGGCAGCTGGTGCACTGACATACCACACTCAAGCCACTTCACCACGCTCACACTCCTCATCAGCTCTTCCGAGCCCAGTATTACCCTGAACCACCCCGCCTCACTGTTGTTCTTGGTCGTAGCAACAGAAGGTCGATGATCCTCCCCAGAAGTCTTCACTGGTCCCTCCCTAGTGTTGGACTTACGCTTACGCTTCTTGACCTCAGAGACACCTCCCCCTCCAACGAGAGCATCATTATCCTGCCTAGGAACTACTGGAACCTCAACAGTTGGAATTTCAGTTTTCTGGTTCCCATTCTTCATAGAGGATGAGGACAAGCGCACCCTCGGCTTGGTTGTTGCTGCTGCTGCTGCACTCTTTCCCACAAGCTTCGCTCCGCTGACGTTTGTCTTTGGCTTAGTCTCTTTGATGGTGTAGTCAACTCTCTGGGCGGCTCCAGGAGGGACTCCATCAGCACCCGCGAAGGGACTATACTGTGGCCTCCACTCATCTGCTTGCATGCACCGCGTATTCTCCAACATACCGCAATCGAACCTCCGCAATTTCTGCGAGACCGCCAAGGCGATTCGATCAACCAAACGCATCTTCCCGCAAGAGTCGCATTGTATAAAGCCTCCAGCGGTCGAGGCTTCGGCTTGTGGGACCACAGTTGGATAGGCTCCCTTCATGGTGCCAATGACTGTGTTACGAATTGACAGTGGGATGTCCTGAAGGTTTCGCAGAGTCGGCTTTGAGATGGTCACGAGTGAGCCGTCTTTGGCAGGCAAGACAACTACATTGGCCATGCGGAGACAATGTGAGGCCACCTCGTTGGTGACTTGGTCGATACCGGGAAATCTGCAAAAAGATGGTAACGATAAGACTCTCAGAGGTGTGGAATCTCACGCTATGAAGATAGTGTGGCAAATGACTTGCGGCGGATCAGCTCGTCGCGAGTCAGCAGCAGCAGCGGTCTCATCGAACACCCTACGCAGGGCCTCCACCTAAGCGCGGCAGTGCTGCAGCATTATGGGTTGATATCACTCTCATACTTGGTGGAGATTCGAGAGGCTCGCGCCGAGGGACGTGAGGTTCACTTGACGGGCTGAAAGACCCGTTCTTAGTGCCAACGTAGTCCAACTTCTGGTCTAAACACGTCGATATTTGTGAGGAGGCATCTCCCTATAGCTCACTAGTCTGAGGATATCCAAGTGGCTCAGCTTGGCCGCATCGAGTTCTATAATGAGCTGAGGAGACCATAGCATCTCCGCCAAGGACCTGTCAAGAGGAGACGTGTAGACCCGAGAGGTTGCGAGTGACATACTCGAAGTCAGCGAGGTTGATATTATCCCTATCCGCGGGCCGGATTCGGAAGACCTCCTCCATAGGCTCATTCGTGTCACAAAGAGTCCCGGTATTCATTGAGCTACCCTCAGTGGACCTTGCAGTGGTGACCATCGGATGCAGATCAGGTGAGGAAAGAGTGAACGATGACATACTGCATTGACAGAGTACTGTTAGAGAGAAATTATGAGGGCATGGGCTACGATGGGAAAGAGCCGTGGTCAGGCCTACACCTCTGAAGGCATAGTCGGCTTTTAGTGAGGTGGATGAGCGTCAGTGTCGGCAGCCATGAGCCTTTAATCATGCGCTAACCTCTGACGCAGGTTCGATCCCCAGAGAAGGACGTTCCGCTGTATTATTTTTCTTGAATTTTGCACTAAACGCGGCGCAAGTTGATCGATTCCTGGAATCTGTCTCTTCCAACAAAACTAACTTCGTGCGCTGCCTAGTTGCTGGAGCTGCTCGAGCATGGCGCAAACACAACCAGAAGCAGCAATTGACTCGTTGGAGTATCGCGAATCGGGCTTCCCGTGAGCATCGATAATATCTTTATATCTGTTGTGTACCGAGCGACTTAGCCGAGTCGAGATGAGACGTCTCGCAGTTGCAGTAGCCACGGAGCACTCAACGACGTGAAGTGACCGTATAGTCCTGTATAGACCTTAGACAGTCGGAATGCGGTGGTTTATTATCGTCAAGAATGGTGTCTTGCCAATGCAAAGGGCATCGTCTCCAATGGGTGTCGTCTTGTGTCCATCGTTGTCACCGTTAGTATGCTATCTGATTACCATGGATCTCCGTTGTGTTCGTCAATGCTCATATGGGCACGGGGTAGAGCATGCGAATAATTGAGAGATATATGTTAGTCACAGGCTTCATCCGTCAAATCGTTGTCAATGGCCCTTGGAACATTCTTGCAAGTCGTGACTATCGGGACGGCGTTGGGTGGCCTCAAAAGCCCCTTCAAGTACTATTGTCGTTTTAGCGACGCGCTCCAATCAGTCTGCTTTCGGACCCTTGAAAACGAAGGACTATATGGGATCTCCTTGCACAATGTTTTTGTATACGGAGACGAGCCGCGAGTACCGTATTATGAAAGCACTAGCTGGAGCGCTCAGCGTAACGAGCACCCCCTCAAGGCAAAGGGGCGCGGGCAGTGGACTCTGCAACATACTGAGAAATTCCCATGGCCAGCCGAGAACCCCATTATGTTCGAGAAGGTGGATCTCCACTCTTCTGCGCCACATTCTGGCTACATTGATGTGAACTTCACGGATCGTGACGAACCGAAGAGGTTCTCACGTATCATGCCGATCTCTATCCATGATATTCCACTACGAGGGCGAGTACCCATTGCTGAGTTCGGGACGAACTCCCCGCGGAAGTTGACGGCGAAGGTGCAGGAGGATCCGTTCGCCCCCCTGGACGCCCATCCGCACAATTATCTTCTGATTGAGGTTCACGAACGTGGGTCCACATTTATACTGGAGGGATCAAGCACACGTTTGGGAGGGCGGGTACGGGTTCTCCGAGGGTTGTCGTCGGGACAAGTGATTACGGCCGAGGCCCTCTTCTTCAAATTCCCAACTGAAGATACACAATACGGTCTGATGGTAACCCTAGAAGGGAAGTCGTATATGCTCTACAGGAAAGGAGAAGAAATGCTCAGGAACCACGACAAGCTGCCGGAATCGTAAGATTAGAAAGGACTCACATGGAGCAGTGTGTGAGGTTTGCTCTCAGGTTTCGAAGGGCTCGTCAATGAGTTTCTCCAGGGAGGGAGTGAATGGCAGAGCTCGTCGCTCAACTCATCTCGACGTGAGTTTTCCCAGGAGCCATAACAACGCATGCGTCGAAAACTCAAGTGTATGGACAATTGTTGCTTGAGGGACAAAAAATAACTCTTCCTGGAATTTTAAAAATTTTCTCATATCGAAACTACCTAATACTCTACAAGTTGAGCGTGTCATTTCGGCACTATGATGTGGTAGCTGTTCAGTTCGTGTGATGATGTGGGGATTTTATGTCGATTTGTCCTCACCCGGAAGAATGTAGATGCGTCTGGGGTGAACATCATCGACGGTCGTGAGCGAACCAATACTAGTTTTATATAGTGGTGTTTGAATCCTGTCATAAGTGATTCTACTCAGTGAGACAGAGCGAATGATCTCTTGGCAGGATCTCCCCGCATCATCCCAGACAGGCCGCATCGTCTTTACTGCGCATCTCTTCATGTCGCTATGCTTTATGTAGAGTCATCTTATTGTGTTTATTGATGTTGATATCTGCTTCGGCTGCTAATGCTGTGTTACGATTGTCGATCTGTGCTGTGTTCGCCAATCCCAAGCGATCCAAGATGAACACTGGTGATCGCATCCTGGGAATGGATCTGCGCTATCGCATGAGTCATGTAGATTAGGCCTACCTCTACAGGTAGAAGCCTTAGTGGTTTAGGGAGGAGTCGGGCTGAGTGATGTGAGGCTCACATTGTGAGCAAGTTTGGTGATCTGATAAAGTCAATCTTGGAAGCTGTAACGATATGTAAACCTCGGTCAGTTTTTCCCTACCGATGAGAACCTACACCGCGTGCCTTGGTATGACCCTGACAGCTCTCGTTGAGGCGGAGTATAAATATTACTGCGAGTTTCAATTTGAACTACTACACATGTGCATTGGCAGGAAGAAGGGAGGGCAATTAACGACTCTATCAATGCACGGCGCCTCGATCAATCCCGAGCGCCCAAATTATACTCGCTTCGTGGACGATGTATGCACCGTTACGGACGTCCCCGAGGACTCAACAGGATCAGAAGGTTATATTCGTGTGGACACCGAGATGTGCTCGATAGGAGAATCGCAGGAAGCCAGGATGGACTACCAGAGGATATTTAATAGTGTTGAAGGAACATCTTTCTATGTGAGGCTGCGCAGATCGTCCAGGTTTTACCATCTTGATAAGCTGAAGCCAATTGCAATGCAAAAGCTCAACTTACCGCATTGCCAACGGGACGGGATGTTCGTGGGGACTTTCGAGAGCCATAGCCCTGATCCTTGGAGAGTCGACGTCCAGGAGTTCAACTGTCGGGCTTCCCGGCGGGGGTTGAGCAAGCTTACTGGTCGGGACCGTCCCGTTCGACAGCTCAAAGCAATCTTCAAAATCAAGAGAGAGAATGGTGAGTGGGAGACTGTACCTATTCTGGGAACAGTGAACAACATCATGAAACTGGACACTACTCGGGGCCATGGTGCTGACGCATCTACATGGACACAAGCGGAAGCATTTTTCTTCGAATTCTATTCCCGGAACGAGTTCTTTGATGCCGTCATGATCACTTCCGGAGGGAAACCTGTGATGCTGTTCGATACGAGGATAAAACCCCAACAACAACTTCAACACTTGTGAGCCTTGTGGAGAGAGAGCCAGAGACCGGACATCTTACAGGTATTACCCTTCTGAACGGCTCATCAGGCGAGATGGACGCCCATCGAGGTGAGCTGTTGATCCGCGGCAGTCGTTGTTGGTGTGAATGATTTACTACCCGCCATAGTATCTTGACGAGACCTCAAAGTTCCTCAGCGCGGACGCCGCGACTCCTCCTCCTTATCATACTGCTTCTGCTCCGCCCCACTCATCTACTAACGAAGAACAACCTCCCTCGTAAGACGATCATCGTACTCCCACGATGACCAGTCCATATCCTCATCATCAGATACGATGAGCTTTATCCTCCGCCTCCGCCCACCTACGAAGAGAGTTTGAACACGCCGTAACCACGCAAGAGGTCCCGGAGCACCTGGTAGAGCTACGTCGTTGAAGCTCACAGCTAAAAGTGCCTCATTCATCTCTTCGATCTTGGCTCGAGACGAGGCTCATCACTACAACGAGGAGATCCAAGACCTCAAGAGAACTAGATTTCATTATCGTTGTGCTGTATGGATAAGAAATGTCACTTGTGCTGATTCTCCGAGCTGAGTGAAGTAGGATCATCACTGATAGGATCAGCGCTCAGTAGACGCTCGCCCCTCTGTTATTCTCGTCGGCTTTCGAGACAGTAACTGAATACCTCCAAGGCTATCAGCTTGGAAACAAACGCACATCCAAGACTCTCTTCAACACACTCCTCCCATTGGGAGATGATGCTGTGTAGGAAATTTTGAGATACTATATGAAAGAATGTTATCGATCATCTCAAATAATCTCTCTTGCTTTACTTCTCTCTTGCTCACTCGCTTAAAATACGCACTCACGGGGAACAGTCGAGAGTAAATGCATCATTCTATGGGAAGCATGTACTCGCCTGACGCACTTCGGAGACGCGCAAGGCGCGCCACCATGACACGTCGACCGTATAGCACGCATGGTCACTGCTCGCATGCGTGCACCAAACTGGGAGCCTCCAATATTGGAGAGTAGGACCTAGACACAATCCGATAAAACGGTACACTTGGATATCGGGGAGCGAAACGGATATGGCCTGCGCTCCCAGCTATGGATCATCTAATCATTCTCTTGCTGCTTCGAGTACGCGATCGCCTGGGCTCCTAGGTGAGAATGCTTAAGGAATAAACTCTGGATAAAGTCCTGAACAGAGGATGCACTAAAAGGAGACTAGCTTAGGGTTCTACGTATCTAACATCGGGGGAGGTCCGACAACACACAGAGCCTGGCAATACCTGATATTCTCACGGGAAGGCTCGTCTCGATGGCCGCTCCAACACAGTCGACGCTGGGTTGAGACGTTGGTCGTTGACAGGCGAACCAAGCGGCTGCGCACCGATTCCCAGGGTCAGCGAGAAATCCCAGGGGCCAGTGTCGTGGTAATGAACGAAGCAGAGACATTCATATGTCAAAAAGATTGGGATGGCAATTATCAACACATTGCAAGCCCGAATACTGGGAGATTTGAGAAGCGATCCTTGCAGGAGAATTCTCGGATTGCTTCAATGGCACCCTGGCGGACCTTGTTGGTATCCTCATCAATGTAACCCTCTGGCATAGGTGCCCCTGTGTTCTCAGGTTCGATCCCGGCATACAACATTTTTCTGTAAATTTCGATGTGGTGATGCTCCTCGACAGGCATTTGACGTGGTGGAGGGGGGAATGTCCACTGATGGTCAATTACGATTCCTGGGAGGAATTTTAGGGAAGTTCTCATTGGCTTCTCGGCACTTCTACCCGAATTCGTGAGTGAACTTCTATTATTGGTGAGGAATCTGCTGAGCTCAGCTGAGGAAAGCGAACGCATATTCCAACATTGGTCATGTGGGAGCTGGAGGCTGTATCAAGGGTATGTCGGCTAGTAGATGTCGTCTTACGAACCTATCAGGGCGAACTCGGGATGGGAGCTTTTGGTAGACTTAGACACATGGTGGGCTAGTTGAGGGCTTCTGGAGGGTGTATGGGACAGTGAGATGAGTCTAATTAGGCAGGGATAGGGGGGTTCTCTGTAATGAGTCGTGATCGGCGCTCCTCGTCGGATCGTCATCACCATTCTCGGGCGCCACGCCGCCCGTCCAAAGCGCTGGCTGCGGACAAAAATGAGTTTTCTACGAACTCAGAATAGAAAAGGGGATGAAGGTCGTCGAGGTGGTAAATATTGGAGGCCCACCGGGGACATGCTAGTTCCAACCTTGGACTCTCAGGGCATAGTCTTTGCTTCAGAGAGTGAGGTGTTCGCCCAGATGTGTGGAGCTTGTAGTGTTCGTGTTAAGCGTTGTTATTCTTGTTTACAACGCTGTTGTAGTGTCCTCGGCCTATCGACTCGTTTGCTATGGTGGAGTTTGATGCCCCTCGTAGTAGGGGTACTACGCGGTATCTCCTCACGGGATGTAGTAACTATCAATGACAGATGCTGAAAAATATGAATTCGGCAAGGCAGACGTGTATGTTTTCAGCAATATTCCCACCGCACGTGGAAGTTTTGGCCGGCAGAGTCTGTACAAGCACGTAGAGGTACTCAGCGGTGACTCTGGGTCGGTTTTCACGAACCTAGGGAGCCAAGGGTGGCTCAATGCTTTGGGAGATACTATCCGCAACAACAGCAGTCTCCTACATAGTCCTTCGGATAGTGTCAAGGGTAGCAACGCTATATGGTAATGTATCCAGACAACTCAGAGTTTTGACCTAGAACTTATTCCAGCCGCGTAATTCGTGGAAAACTAGTGTGGATAGTAGTGACGATGGCCGTACTATCGTCACTCATTCTTTAGCTCCTATTGGACTGGGGTGAAATGCTGTAGAACATGCTCAGGACTTCAGCACATATAGAGTGGCAAGACTTGGTGGGGGACAGAGAGCTTGGTGGATTGTGTAGTTGCAGTTTTTATGAGCATTGTATCATAGTTAAATGGCTTATAGTAGTAATCGTCATACTGACCAACAGCAGAGGTCGGCACCAAAGGTTGTCAGTGGCAGTGTTAGGCCTCCGATTAGGCTACTCTTGTTTGATCTAGATGATACCTTGTGGGATCTAGATAAGAC